CTATGCTGGAAAAAAGTTTTGCGGTTATTTTCTCCGTTTACAAAGACGAATAAAAAATAATGATAAAATATACGAAATAAAGAGGATGAGAACAAAGGAATATTGATAAAAAAACATTCTTTATTTTCTTTTTTCTTTTTTTTTTTTTTTGGTGTGTTCTCGTTATTGATTTAGTGAATGTGTCATTTGCATTTGATATGACATTTGAATTAAAGCCAACAACTTGCTGACAGATCAAGATGTAGAATAGGAAAAAGCAATTCTGATACTAAGAAAAGCAATGAATTTTCCCCCTCTCTCTCTCTCTCTCTCTCTCTCTCCTCTCTCTCTCTCTCTCTCTCTCTCCTCTCTCCCTCGCCTCCTCTCTTCTATCTTTCTCTCTCTTCTCTCTCTCTCTCTCTCTCTCTCTCTCTCTCTCTCTCTCTCTCTCTCTCTCTCTCTCTCTCTCTCTCTCTCTCTCTCTCCTCTCCTCTCCTTCCTCTCTCTCTCCTCTCTCTCTCCCCCTCTCTCTCCCTTCTCCTCTCTCTCCCTCTCTCTCTCTCTCTCTCTCTCTCTCTCTCTCTCTCTCTCTCTCTCTCTCTCTCTCTCTCTCTCTCTCTCTCTCTCTCTCTCTCTCTCTCTCTCTCATTTGACCGTGGCCAACTCATTTCCTCTCGCCTGAAATTCAGAAGACATCTTCGGTTGGACTTATCTCTGCATACGTAGAAGGTTTCAGGCAGACTGCGTCCATAGACCTAAATAATACAGCAATTTTTAGAGAAGAGACAGACAGAAAAAAACACAGAATTTATATATAAAGAAGAGAAACAAAACAGACAAACAACATACACACACACACACACACACACACCACCACACACACACACACACAACACACACCACACACACACACACACACACATCACACACACACACACACACACACACACACACACACTCAAACATACACAGATACACAAGCAAAACCAAAATAGTAACAAAGAATAGCCCGTGGAAATATGACGAAGTGGAAATAGAATAAAAAGAACACAGGTAGATAACAGAAATAAAACAAGCAAAACAAAAACAAAAAGAATAACCCGGAAATGAAAAAAATAAAAAAGAATCAAAGTAGGCCGTATTTGACACTCCCCTCACCCCCCCCCCCCAAAAAAAAAAAAAAAAAAAAAAAAAAACACGAATAGGAAAGAGGGAAAATCTGAATTAAAGCCAAATAATGATAATGATAATAATCATAGTACTAACAATAACATCAAGCAGAAAAAAAGTGACAAAGAAGATTTATAAAAACAAAACGAATAACATAAATAAAATAAATAAAAGAAAATCATTGCAACTGGTAGACGGGGAAAAATTGACAACGAAAAAAAAAAAAAGATCACAGCAACTGGTAGACGGAAAGAATCTTACAAGAAAGGGAAGACTTTCGGAAATAAAATACCCCCTCCCTCGCTGCCGCCCCACCCCCCTCCCTTCCCTCCCTGCCGCCCCCTCCCCCCGCTCCTGAGCAAATCGTCGAAAACGCCCATGACGTAATTGCAATCCCACCAGCCTCTGTTGCAAGGACGGCCGTGCTACCGTTGCAAAGAGGAAATGAAACAAGAACCTCACCTCACCCCCCAAGAAAAAAAAAAAAAAAAAAAAAAAAAAAAGAGGAAAAAAAAATCATTTCGGTCGCTGGGTTTTTCTGGTCCGAGAAAGACGTTAATATTTTTGTGATGGTTCTCTTCCCTTAGGCGGTATTAAGCTTTTTCTTACCCTCTTCTTTCCTTTCCTTTTTTTTTCTTCTTTCTCTTCTCTCTCTCTCTTCTCTCTCTCTCTCTCTCTCTCTCTCTCTCTCTCTCTCTCTCTTCTTTTTTTTTTTTTTTTTGTCTCGATGTCTGTGTCTCTCTCTCTGTCTCTGTTTGTTGTGTGTCTGTCTGCCCCGAAAATCTGAGTGTCTATCTGTCACTATGATGTATGTCTGTATTTCTGTCCGTCTCTGATGTCGTCTATCTGTTAATCAGTCTGTCCGTCTCTCTGTTTGTCACTCTGTCTATGTTTTATCAGTCAGCCAGTCAGTTTGTCTGTCTATTTGTCAATCTATTTATCTGTTGAATTATATCTAATAAATTTCAAACAAATATGCTCATACGACAATGCTGGCCATTTCTAAAATCATGAGCCCCAAAATTCATTAAAAATACTTAACAAATCAACTAACGAACAAGAAAAACGTAAAAAAAAAAAAAAAAAAAAAAAAAAAAAAATCTCCCCCCCCAAAAAAAGAAGAAAACAGCCGGAAATATCATACAAGAAAAATAGCATTAAATGAGACCGTAACGACACCAGATTCCATTTACTCATGTATTTAACTCTTAACGTAAACCTCACTCCTAGATAACACAATCAGGGCCTCAGTTACGTCTCAAGTTAGAATATTCAGTTACGAAGGTCTGATGCACAAGTTAGACTCTATTAAAATCAACTGGGATGGACGTCGGTGTTGAATGCAGGAATGGAGAATTAAGGTTTAGAAAGAAAGAAAGAATGAATTAGGGATTTAGGAATAAAGGAAGGGTATAAAAGGATGATATGAATAAAGATAGGAAAAGGAAAAGGGGAGAGAAGCGATTTGAGAAGGTTATCCAGAGGGTCTTTTTTTTCATGAATAATAATAATAATAATAATAACAAAGAATTTAATAAAAAAAATAAAAAATAAAGAACAGGTTAAGTATTTCATCCCTGAACTTTTCATTCTTAACAAAGAAAATAGAGTAAGAGGAATAGAGAGAAAAATGAACAGAGAGATGAATAGAGATAAAGAAAAATGAAACAAACCCATCCAGGAAAAGCAATAACTAAGGAATAAGCTTAAGTCTTGACAAAGAAAATAGAGTACGACGAATAGAGATAAAGATGAATAGAGAAATAGATATAGATAAAAGCAAACAAACAAACACAACAAACATAAACCCAGGAAAAGAAATAACGAAGAAATAATGAAGAGATTAAGAAAACAATCCCCAAAAATCCTAGAGCTTATTACAAGAAGGGGGAAAAAAATAAATAAATAAAAAATAAGATTACGTAAGAGCTACCGCTTACTTTGTGATATGAATTATAAGTCCAAGCTTGTAAACACGCCAGTTAATTAAAAGTTATTCCATTTTCAGGGCTGGGTGGTGGAAATTCCTTTTAAAAACCAGCCAGCTCTTTCATTTCTTCGCTGAGTTTCTTGGTCGTGTGTTTATCGGTGTATTTTGCTGTTGTTATTGTTGTTGCTGTTCTTATTGTTGATTTTTTTTTTTTTTTTTTGGGGGGGGGTAATACTTGTTGTTCTTTTTGTGCTATTTCTTAAATCGTTCGATATTTTATTATTATTATTATTATTATTATTATTATTATTATTATTATTATTATTATTATTATTATTATTATCTATTATTATTATTATTATTTTTTTTTTTTTTTGACATCGTTCACTCATGTTATCATTCATCTTTTATTTATTCATATATCTAGTGTTCATCCATGCGTAAATCAACAAGAAACAAACAAAAGAAAATAACACAAAACACGTGCTTGTCGGAGAGCGGTCCTGACCTAGTTAACCTGCGGAAAATCGTTTTTCTTTCCCTTGTATATAAAGAAGAAGAAGAAAGGGAAGAAAGAAGAATAATGAAGAAAAGAAAGAGAAGAAGAAGAAGAAGAAAGAAGACCAGAGGAGGAGGAGGAGGAGGAAGGAAGAAGAAGAAGAAGAAAAGAAGAAGAAGAAGAAAGAAGAAAGAAGAAGAAGAAGAAGAAGAAGAAGAAAGAAGAAGAGAAGAAGAAGAAGAAAAAAGAAGAAGAAGAAGAAAGAGGAGGTCGAGGAGAGAGAAGAAGAAGAAGACGAAAGAGGAGGAGGTCGAGGAGAAAAAGAAAAGAAAAAGAAGAAGAAGGAGGAGGAGGAGGTGAAGGAGGAGGAGAAGAAGGAGAAAAAGAAAATATTCGTATACAGGGGAATGGATTATGCCTATTCCTCGGGGGAAAAGTATACCTGGCGTCTGAAAAATACAAATGAGCCCCGCACTTGAAGGATGAGGGCGGTAATGAACGGGCGAGGCGAAGGGGCGGGGCGAGGGGCAAGTTGAGGGGGGGGGGGGGGGGGGGGGGGGAAGGGAGGAAGGGGGGCAAGGGAAGAGAATGGGGTGGGGGTGGGGGTGGGGGTTAAGAGCTAGCCCCATCTAGTTCCTGTCTTGTTCTTCATTAGTGTTATGCCAGCTGTCTTGGGCTGTGACGTGTATGGTCCTTAAGTGGGCGGAAGTACCTGGCTCTCCAGCGGCGGTTTTAATAGAGCCTGGGATGAGCAGGGGGAGGGAGGGGGGGGTGAAGAGAGATAGAGAGAGAGAAGCTGGCAATGACTATGCATATTTACATATGTGTGCATATACATATGCAGGATATATATATATATATATATATATATATATATATATATATATATATATATATATATATATATATATATATATATATATATATATATAATATATAATATATATATATATATATATATATATATATATATATATATATTATATATATATATATATATATATATATATATGTAGATATTAGATATATACATATATTATATATATATATATATATATAATATATATATGTGTGTGTGTGTGTGTGTGTGTGTGTGTGTGTGTGTGTGTGTGTGTGTGTGTGTGTGTGTTGTGTGTGTATAGATAGATAGATAGATAGATAGATAGATAGATATAGATATATATATATATATATATATATACACACAAAAAATATGTATATATATATATATATATATATATATATATATATATATATATATATACAATATATATATATATATATATATATATATATACATAATATTTATAATATTATATGTATATATATATATATATATATATATATATATATATATATATGTATGTATGTATATATACATATATATTTTTTTTTTTTTAGAAACTTCATCATGATCTAAAG